GGTGAGCCGTGGGGAGGAAGCTGGGTGACCGCGCGCGGGGACGCCCGTCGGGGCCCGGGGGCGGGGTCATGGAGGCCCCGCCCAGAAGCCACCTGCGACAGGTGGAGCGCGCGGCACCGGGCGGGCGCTCGGCCATGTCAGCGGAGAGCGTGGGGCAAGGTCTGGGTCCGAGACCGGGACCTGGGTCGGGGTCCGAGTCGGAGCCGCTCTGTCCCGAACACGGCCAGGCTCTGAGGTGGTTCTGCTGCTCCGAGCGACGGCCGGTGTGCGCCGCCTGCGCGGAGCTGGGCGGTCGCTGCCAGGGACACCGCATCCGCCCGGCGCAGGAGCGCGCAGAAGAGCTGCGGGTGAGCGGGCGTGGGCGCCAGAAGGCGGGGGTTCCGGAGGGAGGGCGCGCCGGAGGCAGGCGTGCTGGGCGAGAGCCGGCGGGGACCCGGGAGCCTGGGGCCAGCCTGACCCGGCGGCAGGGCCGGGAGCCCTGGCTCCGCAGTGTTACTGACGGTAGAACGAGGCGGTTAAGGGTGTGGCGGCCGGGGTCAGGCAGACCTGAATTTGGATCCCGCCTCTGTCCGTCCTTCTCGTGAGTCTCACAACTCCCTGAATCTCAGTGTCCTCATCTGTAGTTTGCTGGCAACAAATCGCACGCATTTAATAGAGTTATGCGATATAAATAAGATTGTGAGATCACATAGTGGTGGATCCAGTGCCGTTTCTCCGTTGCTCTGTTGAATCCGTCGGGAGCTGGGCCTGGCCTTGGGCAGTAAAGGGCTCTGCAGTTCCAGTTGCCCCAGCTTCCACCCGGGGGCGGGGAGGCGGGGTGGGAAGCTGACCTCTGGTTAAAAATCCAGCCCCTTCTCACTCCTCAGCCCATCTGTTCAAAAGCCCTCTCCTCTCCCACCCTTCAGGTTTCCTGGTGAGGTGATTTCTTTTCCTTTTCAGGATTGGCCTTGACTGTATGTACTTTCAAGCTGGTGTCACCCGAGTAAATGGGGGAGCGGAGGAGAATATCAGGAGGTTCCTCCTGGAACCCTTCACCTAGGGTTTCTTCCCGTCTCCACCCTCCACTTGGCTCCAGGCTGGTCACCTTTCTGTCAACACCGCTGCCCTGAGCTGCCGATATTGGAGAGTCGAAGTCACCTTGGGGCTTCCTACTTCCTCCCACCCTACCTGTGGCCCCTGGGGATTTCTTTGCAATTTGATTAAAAGATGATTTTCCCAACTTCTCCCTGGAGTTCTGCCTCGCTGTGAGGCTGAGGGCTCTAGCTGGGGACTTGCCTACTTAGTCTGGACTGTAACAAACACATCTGACAGTGTGCTGGGACCAGGAGGGATTCAGGTATTTAGTGACACCTGTAAGCTCCTGGTTGGTCTTACCTGTCACCACTATCCACAGTAGTGAATGAAAAGAAACTTGGATAACGTGGTTTAATAAACTTGCATAATGCATAGAAACTGCAAGTTCCAAAGCATTTAAATATCCATTATCTCATTTCATCCAGACCAAGCCTTTAAAGTGGTAGTCCTACCCACATTTTATAGATGAGGAAATGGAGGCCTAGAACAGGGCAGTAACTCCTTCAAAGTTCCCCCTGTTCAAAGGCTGGACCAGGGCAGTCATTGACTAGGCCAGAGGAAACCACCACCACTTTGCTTCAGTGGTTGGAGGGAGGAAGCTATGCTAATGGGAGTGAGAATTTAATGAAAACCTTTAAAAAAAAATGTTGCCCATCAGGGCTGAATTTGAGTGGCGGAAGGGGTGAAGCCTGGGGCAGGGTGGCAGGCCTCGTGCTTGTTTTGGAATGCACTCTGCCTGGGGAGCCTTCCCTGGACCCTTCTGAGGCCCTAGGCATATTCACTGCTTTGCCTGGAGGGAGGTGCGTCTTGCCCTTTCTCCCTCCAATTTTGATTAGATCGTGGCTTTTGTGTGCTCCTTTCTCTATCCCTCCAGCCAGCAAAGAAATTTCACCCCAGGGCAAGATTGTTTCTGAACTGGGCAAAAACAGCAGCCATTTAAACAACTTCTCACTTACCTTCTGGATTTCTGCCCCTGTAGCTTTTCAGAAGCTAGTCTCGGTTCCTTTAGTCCTGTGTTGAAGGAACTCAGCTTCTTCCCAATCGGCTCAATTCTATAACTTTATATTTTGGACTGGTGAAGTGTCAGTCTAATTCCTGATTGGGGCGGGATGGGAGGTAAGGATTTACAAGGGCTTCCTGGAAGAGGTAGCTGAGTTGTTTTCTGGCAGATGGAACTAGGGCAGTCTTCTTAGGAGAGATAGTGGAGGGGCTGCTGCTTGGAAGGGCTCTGGTTGTTAGATGGAGAAATGGAGTGGAAAAGCAGAGGCCTGGCCATATCTCCTCGGGCAAGTCACTTCTCTGTGGGCCTCAGCTTCTTCATTTCTAAAACTCTCCCCTGCTCTCATGGGCGATACTTACAGCTTTGGCAGCTGTAAACTGCTGAACTTCTTGTGTCAAGGAAGTGGGTTTCATTTATTCAATAAATATTTATTCAGGGCCTTCTATGTGTAGGAACTCTCTTCTAGGTAGTGGAACAAGGGGATAAGTCAAAGTCATGGTGCCTATGTTCCAGTGGTGGAGGGAAAGATACCAAGAAAGGATAAACAAACACATAATACACAGTCAGAGAGTGATGACACAAGGTAGAAAAATAGGCAAAGTTAAGGGGACGGGATATGAGGTGGTCAAGGAACGTTTCTGAAGAAGTGACGTGAAGGGACTGGAGGAGCGAGACAGAGGTGTATGGGAGAAGACTGCTGGGAGATGGAAGAAACGACAGGTGCAAAGGCACTGAGGTCAGACAAATTTGGTGTGTTCATGGGACGGAAAGAAGGCCAGTGTGGAGAGTGGTAAAAGCGGAGGTACAGAGTCGCATCAGGTAGGGCCTTGTTGGCTAAGGTAAAAAGCTTGATCTCGTCTCGCTGTGGGTGTTTTGGAAAGTCATTGGAAAGTTTGGAGCAGGGACAGTGAGTGACCTGATCTGATTTTCTTACAAAGGGGACAGTGTCTAACTGTGGTGTTGAAGAATGGAAGCCCAGTTAGGAGGCTCTAACAGTGGTCATTGTGAGAGATAATGGTGATCTGGGTAGAATAGCAGGAGTGGAGGTGAGCAGAAGTGCCCAGAGGAGAGGAAGAGATTTTGGAGATGAGACTCACTGATGCATCAGATATGGGGTTGGAGGGTAACTGCTGGTTTTTTTTTTTTTCTGAGTAATGAGATTAATGATCGATGGTGTCATTTAATGGGAATACTTGAGGAAGAGAAGCTTGAGAAGCCATGTTGGTCTGCTCAGGTGCAGGTGTGGTGGGTCAGAGAAGTGGGTATGAAGAAGGATTGAGAGTACTTGCAGGAAAGTGATTATAATGATAGGCCACTGGATTTCAGAATAAAGATGGAAACAAGGCCACAAAAGAGGATGATGGGTGGCGAAAAGTGGTTAAGACTAATGTATTGGTAGCTCCAACTGTACTGAAGAATTGTTGGAATGGAAATTCTAGAGTTAGTGGTCCAGAAAGATGGGAAGTGGTAGACAGGGTGTGAGATCATTGAAATGAAGATTTTGGAGGTGGTATAGTTTTCAATAATGATGAGGTCTGGCATACATGACAATCGGAGTAGATGGCTGAGGTGCGGTAAAAGGAAAAACTCAATGGAATAGAGTGAATGGATCAAGACACCATGGGTGTCATTTGTGTTGCAGAACAAGATTGTGGACCAGTGTGAGAGGCTGCAGTTACAGAGTGCCAGCATCACCAAATATGTGACCGAGGTCCTGCCAGGGAAGAACCAGGGAGTAGTGGTATGTAATTCTTTCCCTTTCTTCTCTACTCTGGACCCCCTCCTAGGATAAGACCCCAGCCTTAGGGGCTTGAACCAGTCTAGGGTTTCTTCCCAACCTCACAGACTCATTGTGCTGCTAGCAAAGCTGGATACCCAGGAGGGATGATTTCCTATATGTCTGAGCCTTGGTTTTACTCTGGGCAGAGTAGAACACTGGGTACAAAGACTCTGCTAGAAAAAGACTTTGTGAGGTGGAGAGTAAGGGATCAAGAAGGGTAGCATTCTTCTATTATCTAATTATTTTGTTTTCAGCCCCAGAATTATAAAATAACCTAGGGACTTGTACATTGAGTAGTCTTTATTACAGTGTTATGCAGTAGGTGGCAGTAACATCCCTGTTTACAGATGTGGAAACCCGTAAAGGTTAATTGACTTGCACAAGGTCCCAGTTTCCTGCCAGAGTCAGTTCTATGACCTGGATCTTGTGACTCCAAGGCCAGTGCTCCCTCCGCTACACTCCACTGCTGATCCTTTATTCAGTTGACTCATTGCCATGGCTACATCTCTCAAGTATGCCTTTCAGGGGCAGGAGCTTTGAATTTCCTTCTGCACATTCCCTCCCTTCTTCTCCCATAATACATGAGAATGGACCATTGGATTTAGTAACACACACAGCATTGGAGATGCTGACAAGAGGAGTCTTGTAGAGTGGTGGATTGGAGTGGGTTTCAGAGAAAATAGAAGAGCAATTTGGGGTAGTGGACACAGACAACTCCTGAGGAGCTTTGCTGTAGAACGGAGCTGAGAAATGGGATAGTAGTAGAGGGGCTGTGGGATTGAGGGGAGCTTTGTTTGTTTTGTTTTGTTTTGTTTATTAGATAAGAGAAATTACTCTATGTGTGTATCCTGATGGGAATTGTCCAGTAGAAAGGAGAAAATTAACGATGCAAGAGAAAAGGGGAAATTTGGTACAGCAAAGAGGGTAGGATCTAGCAAACAAGTGGAAAAGCATGGACAGTTTATCCACAGAGTCAGAGCACAGGTGCAGGTAGATAGGTAGGTGATGGGCAGAGCTCGTGGAGGTTCTTTTCCAATTGCTCTTATTTTCCATTATTTATTACCTTTTCTATAGTTTCTTAATGATGCCATTTGTCAGTTTATAGATATATTTTGTTCTCTATCAATCTGTGAATATGGTAATATATTAGTTTTTAATGCTAAGCCATCCTTGAATTTCTGGGGGAAACTGACCCGATTTGATCAAAATGTATTTTTTTAACTTTTAATTTTGAGATAATTGTAGATTCACATACAGTGAATTGCAGATTCATGTATAATGGTAACATCTTGCCTGACTATGGTACAATTTCACAACCAGGAAACTGACATTGATAGGACACATTATTCAGATTTCACCAGTTTTACATGCATTCATTTGTGTGTGTGTGTGTGTGTGTGTGTGTGTGTGTTTTCTATGCAGTTTTATCATATGTATAGATTCATGTGACTTCTACCACAATCAATATACAGAACAGTTTCATCATTAATTAATAAGTTTAATTAAGCTTATTAATTGGCTCAAATCTTCTCTATACTTACTAATTTTTTATTTGTCAGATTTATTGATTACCGGCAAAGGGCACTTATATTTTCATATCATGCTGTGGACTTGTCTGTTTTTCCTTAATAATTCTTTCCTTAAAGAATAATTCTATCAATTATTCTTTTTATATTTTTATGCTATTTGTGTAATTTAGGTTTGTTACCTATTCTCGGTAAACCATTTTGTTTATCACTTTATAGTGGCCTTTTATGCCCAGAAATTCTTTTTGCCTTAAAGTCTATTTTGTCCTTTATTTATTACTATATCAACAATATTTTCCTAGTATATCATTTTCTTTCCTTTTACTTTCAACTTCTATATGTTCTTATGTTTTTGGATGTGTCTTCTAACTGGATTTTGCTTTCTTTTTAAAAAATTCAATCTGATAATTGCTGTTTTTTTTAACTAGGGTGTTAAATAAATTTTTCACTATTGTGATTGCTAATATACTTGGATTTATAACTGTCATTCAACTTTATGTTTTCTATATAGTTTGCTTTTTCTATGCTTTTTTTCTTTATTTCCTGCCTTCTTTGGGGTTAATCAACCCCACCTCCCTCTTCTTTCCTAGTCTGAAAGATATGCATTCTATTTAAGGCCTATTTTTGGTATCCTTAAAAATTTTAACACAAATACTTAACAATGTCTAAAATGAATCAACTAGAATAATACAAGTACCATAAGAATGTTTAATCCAGCAGCCCTTCTGGTCTTACATATTGTCCAATATTTTGCTTAAAGTACATCTTTTAATAAATCCTTTCTATATATTAGGAAATATTCCATTTTTATTAGAGATGTCTTTATTGCGCTCTTTTCTGTATGATGGTTTAGATGAGTATACAATTTTAAAGTAAATTGTAGGCTCCACCCTGGACAATTGAATCCTCAGCAATTTTTTATTTTTAATTAAATTTATTGGGGTGCCATTGGTTAATAAAATTATATAGGTTTCAAGTGTATAATTCAATAATACGTCATCCGTATATTGCATTGTATGTTTACCACTCAAAGTCAGATCTCCTTCTGTCAACATATTATTTGATCCCCTTTACTTGTATCTACCTCACTCACTCCCCGCTTTCCCTCTGGTAACCACTAAACTGTTGTCTATGTCTATGAGTTTTTATTTGTCTTGTTTGTTTGTTGCATTCAGTTTTATATCTCACATTTGAGTGAAATCATATGGTTCTTGATTTTTCTGTCTGACTTATTTCACTTAGTTTGATATTCTCAACATCCATCCATGTTGTTGCAAATGGTAATAGTTCATCTTTTCTTATGGCCAAGTAATATTCCATTATATATATATTATATATATCACATCTTTATCCAATCATCTATTGAAGGATACTTTGGTTGTTTCCATGTCTTGGCCACTGTGAACATAGAGGTACAAAAATCTTTACAAATAAATGTTTTCAAGTTTTTCAGGTAAGTACCCAGAAGAGGGATTGCTGGGTCATATGAGAATTCTATTCTTAATTTTTTTGAGGAAGCTCCATACTGTTTTACATAGTAGCTGTACCTATTTGCATTCCCACCAGCAGGGTGTGCGGGTTCCTTTTTTCCCCACAACCTCTCCACCACTTGTTATTACTTGTATTGTTGATAATAGCCATTCTAACAGGGTGAGATAGTATCTCATCGTGGTTTTGATTTGCATTTCTCTAATAGCTAATGAACTCAGTTCTTGATTATACTGGTTTTCAGTTTCCTTTCTACTTTTGAACCCCAGGGGATTTCCTTTTGTTCTAGGAGGATTTTCAGTTTATTCTGTCATATCTTTGGAAAGGGAAATTTTTTTCTTTGCTATTTATTTCTGGGAATGAATCAAGAAGTGTGTTGAAACTGTTATTTTCTAGTCAGGGAGTATCTGATGCCTCTTGGATCAAGGTCAGTTCTTGATCCTGATCACACAGTACAAACATGGCTGCAGAGACCCGCCACCGTGGATAAGGCATTAAGAGCCATAGCTGATGTTATTGAACACTCATGTGCCGGCTCTGTTCTATTTACTATGTACATATTAACTTATTTAATCCTCATAGTAGCCTTATGAGGTAGGTACTATTATTGTCCTCAGTTGACAGATTAGAAAACTGAGGCATAGGGAAGATAAGTAACACGCTTAAAGTTCCGCAGTAAACGAAGCAGCAAGAGCAAACCTTGACATTGTCTCTAAAGCCTAACTTTCTAACCGCTATGTCATGTTGCCTCAAGAGAGCACTGAAGTTGGGGTCTGAACTCCTGGGTTCACTTGGCCATCTACTTAGCACTCTCTCTTCCCCATTGGAGAAATTGTGGGTCACAG